AAAGTGCACTTCTGATCCACACTGAAATGCAAATGTAATCCAGAGGTGAGACCCACAGAAGGGTTAAGGGAGCATGAAAGTACTATAGGATGACTTAGTGTCTGACAGGAACAAAGATTTCACACCATTCCTTTAGGGACACATGACCTGTGCCTGCAGGGAGGGGGAAGGGCAAGGCGACCCCGTCTTCCTGCTGGTCTAACTCAGTTGTCAGAGTCCTTGGGAATCTCTGAGAGTGCAGATGCCTGCGGGCCCCTTTAAGGCTAAGTCACTATGAATTCACCTAAGGTACAGTCTAACACAACTGCTTGAACAGTTGAGAGAAGATTGAACGGAGAGGGGGCAGAGAACAGGGGAACCGTGGTCTGGACCAGAACTGCTCTTCTGTGGGAACCCTGCACGCTCTGTCAGTGGACTGTCCAAGCACCAGTGAACGGGTCCCAAGGCTCTCGGAGAAACTGAGCCCACATGTTTCCATGGCCACGCCAGAGACAACCGCTACCTTACAGCGAATTTTTGTAAAACAACTCAGCTTGTAAATTCGAGTGTCTTTGTCTGGTTTTAGTTTTATTTTCCCTAAAATCTGACATGATATTCATCACCTCACCAAATGCTCTTTCGGATTTCGCTTTGTAAGAGGGTTTTCTGTGCTCCATAGAAAGCCTCAGCACAGGCAAGAGCAAAGAATTAAGCAGCCCATCATTCACATGCCTCTGAAGCTAATTTATCTCTCTTTTCCAGAATGTTTGTGAAAACATACTTTGTTTACTGCGGAGGACAGAGGAATAACGAATCTCCAGTGCAAGACTGTTGCAATACTAAGTATGACTTTTTAGGCAATGCAGAAAACATTAGAATGATTGTTCTCACAATTAACATTTCAATATACAGAAAAGACATTACAGGAACCATTTCATTCTGCTTTAAACACAGCAATAACTGGAAGGAAGTTACTTACCCATATTTTTCTGCAAGTTCCTTAGCCTCTTCTTCTTTCACCATTCTTTGGTCTTCCAGATCACTCTTGTTTCCACATAACACAATGTCAGGGTTTTCACAATACGCATGCATTTGAAGCTGACCTAACAACAACCACAGTAACAGGGGTCACAACTTACTGTCACACATAAAGCTCACTAATAGCACTACCCATGTCTCAGGGGACAGAAAGTCCTTCAGGAAAACAGCTCTTTGAAAGACAGAAAACAAGTATTATCTGTTCTTTCACACGACTTCTGCTATTGTGCTGAGGAGCCAGAGAACAGGGTGATATCCACTACCACATACCCAGTGAAAAAGCCAGGGCAACAGAAGCCTGACAAAGTTAGCACAGAAGCTGTGTATTTGTAGCATAAGGAGTTATGCTCACCAAGCACCTTCAGTGAGCTGCGAGGAAAGGACATACTTTCCTCTCCTGATGGCAGATGCAGTTTGGGAACTCCGTCACCTAGATACACTAGCCTAGTAACATCTGACTTTCATTAAGTTTTGCTGACAAAGCTTTATGTGAGTCAAAACAGAGTTCTGTCCAGGCTTTCTACACACTCAAATTACTGAGTATCACCAGACTCTGGGATATGATGTTCTCTCAGCTTGCTTTTATACAGGTTTAAGATTCAAGTTCAGTAGGCAAAGCTGAATTTCAGGTCAGCGCTAGAAGCCACCACTAGCGGCTACTACAGTTATGAATGCAACACCTACCTTCTTTTACTGAGAAAGGGATAAAACCCAGTATTTTCAGTTCTGTTTCTCAGTGAGACTCCATATTTACAAACATAACCCCATTCCCGCCCATGCAAAGAAAGAAAGAAAAAAGAAAGAATCAAGAAATGCCGTACTTATCCAGTTCCTGACATTCAGAAAGCTTTGCTCATTTGTCAGGTCAAAGAGTAGAAGAAACCCCATGGCATCTCTGAAGAAAGCTGTTGTCAGGCTACGAAACCTAGACCAGCAAAGTGAAATGAGTTGGCTCATCTGACAAGCTACTTTGAAAATATAATTGTGTACAGTCATAAAACTGAGGTAACTCAAGACTGAATTAACTAGAATGAAATATTCATCCTAACTGTTTTGCTGATGTAAGGACTGGATAACAAGAATTAGTAACATCACTGTGGTGTAATCAAGGCCTAAAGAAGTCAAGCAGACATTTCACTCGAGCATCAGAGTTTTAGATAGTGTCTTCTACTACAAAGCATGACGTGATCAGGAGTCAGACATTAAAGTAAGAATGAAATTCAACCTTCAGAGATTTGTCCCTTGTACACATCAGTTCTTGATTTTCAAACTATCTACCACTAGGATGCTAATCTTTTGACAGAAAAATAGAAAAGAATCCTTTGAGGCGATTTCACCTGTCTGACTTTCCCAAGACCTCAACGTGTCTACAGAAATTTAAGGAAAATTGAAAAAAGAAAAGCTTTTAGATATCTATATGCATTGACCATGAAAAACTAAACTGAAAGTTTCCAAAAGACAAAAAAAATATAGCAGCTTTAATGTTCTACAGTTGTAAATTACAGTTGTTATTTAATAGGTATTCACAGGAAACTTCCCATCACTGCCAAAATTAAAGTGCGTGCACTTTCCCATCCCGAGTCGTACAATTAAAATGTAACAATCAGTAAAGAGAATTCGTGTACTCTGTTCCATCTGCAGCTATCTTGATGGCAACTGCCTTCCTTGCTAGGTGTGAGGGTGGAACATACCTCTCCTGCCCTGCAGTATCCCAGAGCTGAAGATGGATCCGTTGTCCTCTGCCACCAACGCCATCTGGCCCATTGGGTCTATACACCTGCACAAGGTAAATAATGCAAAACTGAGTGTTAGCAGTCCAGCCCCTACAGAACACAAAATAACTGACATTTAAAGTCGCTAAACGCAGCAAAACTTGCCGATACGAAGATCTCAACTACAACTCAATCCCTCTGCTGTATAAGACAAAAGCAACATGGACTGTATTTTAATTTTGCATCCAATTGAATATTTAAAAAATAAAGGTAAAAACAAAACTGGAAAAGCAGTGTTCAATAGACTATGGACTCCAAAAGATATTCAGAGTGGCCAGTACGTTTCATTAGACAAGCTTAATTTTAGTATTATATTTTCTATTTTTGCTACTATCTTGTCTTGTGTTCACGCTAAAATGCAGTTATATGAAAGCAACAACCAGATCATGCAATCTGGCGATGAATTTGTACCACTAACAGAACCTCATTAGCAAACAGAATATACTCATAATGACATCTCTTCTTAGCTGCCAAAAGACTGCTGAAAAAGAGCTGGGCATAGATCTTATCGTATCGCAGCTGAAAAAGCAGAAATGGTATGATAATAATAGAAGCTGAAGAGTTTACTCAGTATGAAAATATGAGTAAGGGCATCTGTTGGCTTTGGAGGGATCAGATAAAAACAGATTAATTTCTGGTTTGGAACACTTCATGTTAGGTCATCTTCTTTACCTTCAACTGTCATTGCGCCCAACATTACCAGGGTTACAAACACTATCTTTAGAGACAAACTTGCTGAATTTGGGGGTTATATGACTCAGACTGTGAAACCTACATCTTATCCCGAGTTATCAAATACGCTGATCTAGTAAACCCACTATGTTTACTGTGCCACAACAGGAATACTGAGTTATTGAAGAAACCAGTTTCTCATTTTACTAAGGTACGTACTCCTTCCACTACGGTGGTGCATGTCATCCACCAAAAGCCAGTCTGCACAATGCCCTCTACACCATTCAGACTTCTGGACACTTGGGAAATCATCAGACTACACTGAAAGGCCTTTAATACTTCTGCATGCCCACACATCAGGATCAGCACGTTAGATTAAAAAAACCAAAGAGTCTAGGCATCAGCAAGACAGATACCATTTTAAAGTAACACCCGGCCTGTGAAGACTCACCACTCTCTTTTCCCGAAAGTCAATGCCCACCGTTGTGATAAACTTGGAATTAAATTTTCCATCCGTATACTGGTAAAGAAGGCTGGTCTTTCCTACTCCAGAATCACCGAGCGCTAGAAATTTTATGAGGTAATCATAGTCCCCATCAGACATAGTGAGAATTCAGGAGACACCTTAAAAAAACACAAAGCGAAAAGGATTCGTTAGTAAACAAACCTGACAAGTCTTCTTTTTAGAATACAAATCATTATTTGAACTACAAAGCATCCAGCAGTGGGACCAGTTCTGTTCTCTTTTTCACCAGTTTCACCTTAAACCCTCAATGATGCCAATTATCAATATCAAATTCAGCTGGAACAGAAAATCAATTCATGGTTGATTTTATCCCATTCCTCTTATTACAAAGAGGAGGCAGCACAATTTTAACTTCTTCGGGAAAGACTGAAAAAAATCAAGGTCAAAGAATTCAAGATATCTGGAACACGAACTGCAAAACTTTTTAATCCGTGTGAAAGCTGACAAAAGCTACTTAAACGTACCAGCCATGCAGTTCTGACCTCACATTCCCTGTGACATTATTAACGTACTTCAAATACAGTTTTCTTCCAGACTGCCCACTATATTTAAGTAAGAAGGACAATGATTTTCTATTAGCAGCTATTTTTCAGTCTTTAAAAAGTTTCTTCATACCGGGAGGAAAAATAACTACGCAACATTTTGTTGTTGTTTTTGTCAGGATTGGTTTCGCTTTGTTTAGAGCATAAATTCTACTCAATTTCTTTTGATCATGCTAGTTAAATCATTTAAACCTTTTATCTGAATTGTCATTAAACAACACACGTATTTTTCCAATGGCATTTAAGAACTTTTCTCTATCCTTTTTGCCAATAACCCTATTACCTATAGTACGATCAAAGCACAGGAACAGCTAGAATGTATAATAAAACCCACTGGCAAATTTCAGATATACCAGAAAGAATGATGTGAGTGCAGTAGCACTTTCCTGTTGAGCAGCTACCAAGCTTCTCTTCCCCCAAAACAAATAGTGGAGAGCCGCCTTATGTTGTTTTCAAATAAATGAGCATAAAAAGATAAGCCTAAAATAACCATTCTAAAAGCAACTTAAAGCTGGCGTTAAATGGCCTCTTATGAAGGAGGGAAATAGAGCCAAAAAAGAAGAAAAATAAGAGATAATTAAATAAAATTTAGAAAGGTAAAATCTGCTGTTTCAACTGTAAATACGGATTTGTTGAACTATTTGTAGCTTGAAATACATAAACGATTCATTTCAAGTCAAACACTCCAGTAGTTTGTGTGAACAGCAAAACACCAATTCACTTCTCGAGTCGCACCTCACAGCTCGAGGTTTGGAACAAACTCTGCATCTCGAGTATGTGGGCATCGGTCACCACCGTGAAGCTAAAACCGTAACTGCCTGGGGAGGTTCAGCTTCACGTTAGTACTGCTCTCGGTTACAAGCCAGAGCTGTGATTAACTGACTCAGCCATGGCTGCATTCACAGCGATCAGACGCAGACAGCGGTCAGATTTCCACCCAGGTACTCTCCAGCTGAAGAGTCAGTGGAAAGCATCTGACGCTTATTTTCCATTTCCAGTTCTGAAGTCTCCCTTTCCCCAGACAGGGCACAGTTGACGTTACGTCCTCAACGACAGTAAAACCTGCAGGGAAGGCGTTTTAGGCGACAGAGTTCACACTCACTACCACACCACAGCCAGCTAATTCCTTTTGTGTTTTCATACAAAGTTTTGCAATAAAGATTGAAAACAAAAACCCAACCAAAAATAAAATAAAATAATAATTTAAAAAAAAAAACCCCCACAGTAATAGTTACCAGTGAGCTTTTTACATAAATGCACCACAGCTGCAGGCCTGCATCCACCACGCAGGGCTGGAGCAGAGGTATATTCAAAGTAAGCAAGTGGAACAGACAGCCATGCACTGACATAGGAACAGTTTTAGTAAAAATTAAAGGCTCTGATCCGTTAGACATACTCACACATACCAGCGAAAAGGGGTTTTGGGTTTTTGTTTCGTTTTTTTTTTAAATCCTCCTCCCTGCTAGGGAAGGAAAAAGAAAAGCAAAATCAGATGGCCTACCTTGTAGCTCTACAAAGGGTCTTTTCATTGAAATGCACTAGAAGAAAGGGAAAAATATTTTAAAAAGTGAACAAGGAGGTTTTTACTAAAGACTGGATTTGATTTAGACTTCCATCTCGTATATGGTGCTTCCTTTCCCTTCGGATGTTCTCCAAGGGCAAAGCACTGTGCAAGCTCACGCTCTACTCAAGTACATGTTCCTTCAGCTTCAACACCCCTAAGTAAATTGTTGCTTAATAAGTCTTAAATGCAAATCACAGGGCCACTATATTATACAAAGACAAGCTAGTTTCATGTCTTTTACTCTGCTATCCCACTTCTGCAGAAGTATTTGCCTTGTCTTGTTGGTACTTTGTTAGCTAGGTATATAGCTAGATAGCTAGGTATATAGGTTTATAGATCATACTTTTAATGAAAGATACAAATGATAATGCCAGCTAATCCCTGATAGTTTGTGTTGTAAGAAAGCTACTTTATCTCATGCCCTGTGCAAGACCTTACGGAGAAAGAAAGGGCACTGCAGCCCTTCACTAAAAATTCACTGATGGACACAGTTTTAGGCTCCACAAGCCCTCGAGGGTTTTTGCCTTTTGTAAACACCTCCTTGAATCCCATTCAGCTCTGGCTTTGCACTTCACCTAGCATAAGAAACTGTTACAGTTCAGCTGCACCCTTCCACTGGACAGAGCTGGGTGAAAGCCCTGGTTCAAGACAGAATGGTCAATGTTAGACCCTGGGGAAGTGAAACCTGAAGGTATTCCTAGTATCATGTCTGATTAGTAGAGTACCTGTTTGGACAAACACGCTGCATCATTTGGACCACTCAAACCTCAATTCCCCCTATGGCTGGTAACAAATACAGTTTGCAGATGACTGATAGAGGACTAGGAGCCCTTCACAGGAAGGGTGTAAAATTGTCTTCTAAAGCATTTGCTTGAGAAGGAAATTTTCTCCTTAAGTTTTGAAATGCACACACCTTTCACTGCACCCCGTAATGTCAATCTATTATTCAAATATCTCCAGGGAGTGGTTCTTGTGAAACCCTGAACAGTTAACCTATCCTTGGAGACATGCAAAGAGCTATTTTCATAGCAGTTGCAAGCCTTGTCCTCCTCCCTGTACAAATATTTAAAAAGTGATCTCCACCCACTGCTTCCGAGACCTGCAGCCCTACAGACCAGACACATCCAGCTCCACACAACAGAAACAAGAATATACACACAGCACAAACTGCTGCGGAGTTTTTAAAAGTCAGGGCCCTGTTACTATAAACCCATCCCGTTTTTTTCTTCCAAGTTTGCTTTTTAAAAAAACAAAATGAGGCTTCATAGCTTTACACCTTCCAGTCTTTCCTTCCTTTTCCATACTTTGTATATCATGAGAGTCGGACGTAGAAAAGGAAGAATCAGAAAAACTGATGATATAGTTAGGATTCATCAGGTCACCAAAAGCAAATTTATTTTAGAATAATCACTTCCAAGGTTTGCTTCTAAGAGTAAGAACTCCTTGGCTAAAAGAATTCACTGATGGACACAGTTTTAGGCTCCACACCAAGCCCTCGAGGGTTTTTGCCTTTTGTAAACACCTCCTTGAATCCCACTCAGCTCTGGCTTTGCACTTCACCTAGCATGCAGATGGACAGGGGCTATGAATAAGTGCTGGGAAAACTCGACTGGCCTCTTCCATTGCTGACAGGACCCCACAGCCGTCACTTGAGCTGTGTCTGTACAGCTGCCACTCTGAAGCCTGCACATACACACACATCCAGATGCTTGCCAAGAAGGGATGCTCTGCAAAGCAAGCGCTGCTTTTGTTCAGTGGATTTCCTCGTCCAAGGTTCTTTCACATTAAGAGGCATCAACATCACCAGGCTTGTATTTTTGCCTCCAGAACACAAATACCACAACCCTATTGTGTGATAAAACATTCAAGGCTATGGCAGTGTTAATAATAAATTAAGGAAATTGTCTTGGCGTGCAGGATTTCCCCCATGCAGTATGGGAACAGGGAAAATGCTTTCTGAACAAACTGGCCTTGCACAAAACATGCCACTCCTATGCTGCTGCAGAGCTGATGGAGGGGAGAAGGAAGAAGGCACGAAGAGATGAATAAATGAAAACACAAGCCAAAAAAAAACCAAACAACCAAGCTGCAAGTAAAAATATGTACACACACACACAGAGGGTAAAATTCAGGAAATCTGAACATGCTCTTAATCAGGCAGTCCTCAAGCACATCAATTTACAGTAAAGTATACCACTTACCCCAAACTCTGCTAAAGGAATAGTAAAGGCTCACTGGAGATAGTACTTCCAGTACGAGTATTCTCCTAGCACCACCTCTTTAGCACACAGCCAAGAGGCTGACGTGTCACCTGTTTGCATTCCCGTTGATGGGTGCTCAGAGATAAAGGGGTGTGCCTCATGTCGCCGTGTCTAGGGAGGGCGCTGCCTGACAGCATGGCTGGGAAGCAATTACACAGTTCACATGTCCCATTTATTCCTAGAGGCAAACAGCATTTCAGAAGAGATTTGTGCAGATGCAAAGTACCTGCTAAACCATCCTTAATACAATTACATTGTTCCTAACAAGTGTTCTCATACAGAAATGTATTAACGATGGAGTACATGGATCACACACTTGAGGACACCACGCTGCCTGAAGGGTGCCGTGGTGAAAGCCATCTTCACTAGAGAAGAGAAAAATTGTTCTTTGGCAAAGACTGGAACATAAGGTATTGTGTCTGACACGACCTCAGACCACACCTGCACCACCACCCCATTTCACAGACAAGCAATACACGTTTGACAGAGGAAGCTTTCCCCACACTACACCACCTAGCCAGCCCGCCCAAGAGCAAAAAAGCCTCTATTCTGTATTAAAATACTTCAGTAAAACCCTTTGTTTGACTCAACCCACTCCTCCCTCCCATACCAAGTGAAATGACTCTGCACAACTCAGACATCAGCCCAGCATCCCAGATCTGCAGTGCAGCCAGCCACAGAGCCAGTGACTAGCATGGCAGGGTATACCACACAACTATAGAGATGTACAAAT